TGCCCAAGATCCTGAGAGGAGAATGGAGGAGAAGGGATTGCGGCGTGACCATCCCCCCTGGGGGGTGATTTCTCACTTTCTGTCTCTATGTCTCTGTCTGTCTGGCGAGCGCACGCGCCCTATAGCGAAAAACCTCTCAAAAAAAAAAAAAAAAAAAAAGTTTTTTTTTTGTTTGTTTTTTTGCAATGGGGCATGTGTGCTCACCAGAGAGAGAGAGAAAGTGAGAAATCACGCCCCCCCAGGGGGGATGGCCACACTGCAATCCCTTCTCCATGTTCCTCTAAGGGTTCTGGGCACACACCAAGTCAGTGCGAGCAGCAGCCAGCCTACGCAGTCCTCAGCGGTGCTCCCAGAATGCATCTGCAGGTTAGCAATTACAGCTGGCAGCAAAGACAGCAGTCTTTCTCTCTGCCTCACAGTGTGTTTCAGTCCTCTAGAGCTGGGATTCGAAACAGTAGGCCATGCGGGAGTCCAGCGCCATAACCACTATGCCACCTGCTGCCCCAGGTAATGGCGTGTTTTTGTTTTATTTTTTTTAAGAATTATTTTAACTTTTTTTTTTAGTTTAATTATTTATATATTTATTTATTTAAAGTCATTCACTTTACATTAATATAGTATACAAAATGAGATTTTCCACCCAGTATACATTGTATATTGGCTCAATCTAGGATATTACCATACATACTATCATCAACAAATAATTTTCTATTTCTTGTTTCTTTTTTCTTTTTAAAATTTATTTAATTTTTAAAATTAATTAATTTACATTCATTCACTGAGTATTGTCATAGCATACAAAATGATTTCTCACCTAGAATATACTGCATAATGACTTAATTATACATGTTATCGTCGATAATTTTCCATTTCTAGTTTCATATATCTGTATATGTATATATATTTTCCCCCATTTCTCACTCTCTGCCATTTCCCATCCTCTTCCCACACACTCTGGTGTCTACAGTTCTTTCCATTCCTTTCTCCCCCATATTTTATTGATTCACAAAATTTCTTAATATAACTACTTTAAAAAGCAAGTTCAACTGATATATAGATATCTGTGAATATATGTCTGACTTTAGGCATGAAACTCTGAGTAGAATGTACGTACAACAAATATATACATATAGGAAATATATAGAAAGCAATATTTCACAGCTAAGTTCAATAGCCATCTCAGGATAGGCCTGGGTTTGTGCCTTTCCTAAGTGGAATGAAGAAAGACACAAATTAGCACAATAAAGGAGGGACTTGAGAGCCCAGAGAATACTTTACCTTAAAAAAGAAATAAAAAAACCCCGAAAAGACACAGGGAGATACAGAGACACAGAGATAGAGAGACAGAGATAAGGGTATAGAGGTAGCCCTACCCACTAGAAATGAATCTGGAGGGAGGAGTCTCAGCAGAAAATCTTCATTTTTAGTCAATAAAAACAATATTTCACAGCTCAAGTTCAGTAGCCATCTCAGGATGGACCTGGGTTTGTGCCTTTCCTAAATGGAATGAGGAATTTAATTTATTTAAAATTTTTAAAACACAATTTGAAAATATTCAGCATGCATTTATTAATTTATTTATTTTTATAATTATTTATTTAATGTTACTTATTTATTTTATTTTAATTTGACCAGAGAGAGAGCGAGAGCAAGAGGGAAAGATAACTTGATGTTTCTCTCTTGCCAGTCTTAGTATCTTGGTTTTGGTCAACCTGACTATAATGTGTCTTGGAGAAGATCTTCTTGGGTTGATTCTATTTGGGGTCCTTTGTGTTTCTTGGGACTGAATCTTTGAATGCCTCTCTAGGTGTGGAAAGTTTTCTTCCAGGATTTCATGAAATAGATTATCAATGCCCTTATGAGTCTCTTCACCATCTGGGATACCAATTATCCAGATGTTTGAATGTCGATGGTATCTTGTATTTCTTGTATGTTATTCTCATTTTTTGAGCAATTTTCTCAGTCTTTTTGGTAGATTTTTCTAGGCCAGCAATTTTCTCTTCTGTCCGAGATTCTATTTTCTGTACTATCTAGTCTGCTTTTAATACTTTCAAGGGAGATTTTGACTTCCTGTATTATAGCCTTCATCTCTAACAGGTCCATTTGATTCTTTTTTAAAGTGTGTATTTCCTTTTTTATATCTTCGAAGAATTTCCTCACCTCTTGGAACTTGTCAACTCCTTTCTCCTGCTTCTTCTGCAGTTCATTGTCTCTCTTCTCTTCCATCTCTGTTAGCTTTGTCATTATGAATATTCTAAATTATTTATCAGACATTTCCATGATTTCCATTGTACCTTCTATGGATGAAGAGGAGTTATTCTTTTCCCTTGGAGGAGAGGTATTTTCTTGCTTTCCCATATTTCTTATGGCCCTGTGGTGATTTCTAGTTATCTGATGAATGGTACATTTCTTCTTAATTCTTGAAGTTCAACCTGAGCATTCAGAGGTGTGCAGGAGGAGGTCATCCGCAATCTCTCTTCTGTTCTATTTTCATTCTTTGTACATCAGATCCAATGGGGATAGAGGAATATTCTGACCTGAATCGTATTCAGATGTTTGGATACTGTTCACTTGGACTGTCTAGACACTTAGAGTGTAGAGGACACTAGAAATGAGTCTGGAGGAGGAAGTCTCAGCAGAAAATCTTCGTTTTTAGTCGATGAAAGCAGTATTTCACAGCTCAAGTTCAGTAGCCATCTCTTTATTTTAACTTTATTTATTTATTTATTTATTTATTTATTTTTTAATTTGACCAGAGAAAGAGAGAGAGAGTGAGAAAACAGGCCACCAGATTTGCAGTCGGCCATATGGGAGTCTAGTGCCCTTAACCACCATACCACCTGCTGGCCCCGGTAATAGCAGTTTTTAAAAGGCTTTCTAGAGATTATAAGATAATGCCAAAGTTGAGATCTCTTGTCCTAAAGCTAGTTCTCTGTATTCCTTTTTCTTTTTTTTAGAGAAATTTTTGCTACTGGACGCATGTGCTGACTGGAGAGACAGAGAAACAGAAAGAAAGAAATCACTTCTCAGAGGGGATGACCACACTACAGTCCCTTCTCTTCCATTCTCCTCTTGAGATTTTGGGCACACACACACACCTGGCATGAGTTTAAGCTGCCAGATCCGGGACTCGAACCACAGTCAAGTATGTGGAAGTCCAGCAACGTAACCATTATGCCATCTGCTGGTCCCCTAAGGGTTTTTAAATTTGCTATAGGGTGTGTACATTCATCAGAGAGAGAGAGAGAGAGAGAGAGAGAAAGCACTGCCTCTAGGCAGGGGTATCTACGCCAGAATCTCTTCTTGGGATTTGGGACATACATGCACATGTGCCCAGAATGGTTTTTCAAGGTGCTAGGTCTGGAATTCAAACTGCTCAGTCAGCTGTATAGGATACAGCCGCCTTAAACACCATGTACCATGTGGTCCTCTAAGTGTTTTAATATAACTGGATTTCATTGTAGTCCTGTTTTATTTCATATATTTTGAAACATTGTGAAGGGTTCCATAAGGCTTTACTACTCTGCGAAGGGGTCTGCTGCACACACACACACAAACATTCAGAACCCATACTTGGGGCCTGATTCATCCTTCTGTCCAACCCTCCAGTCTACCAGTCTGCTTCACTTCTACCACTCCCAAGATTTTCCCTTCCTCTCTCAAGTTTTTCTTTTCAAAAACTAGATCCTATGGGACCAGGAGATGGCGTAGCAGTTATGTTGCTGGACTTTCACTTGGCTGACGGTGGTTTGAGTTTTGGACCCAGGGGCTTGAAAATCATGTGGATCACTTGTTCTTGCGTGTACAGGAGGAGAATGGGGGAGAAGGGATTGTAGTGTGACCAATCATCCCCTAGGAGATGATTTCTTACTTTCCCTCTTACTGTCTCTCTCTCTCTCTTTCTCTCTGACAAGTATACATGCCCTAAGGCAAAAACCTCTAATATAACAACAACAAAAAAAAGTAGATCCCTTCCCTTAGAGCCTGATCCCTCCTTCTATAAGGGATCATCTCAGGTGACCTCAGTCCATCTTCTCTTCGGGAAATTCCATAGTGGTGGTTTATTATGATCAGTTTTATAAACAAATAGCCACAGTTTCCCAACAGAGGAGGAGGATAAGTGTGTTTGTATTTTCCCTCTCTCCTGCTCCCTCACATTCCCTTTTTTCCCTTTCCTTTCCACCCTTTTCTGTATCTCTCTCCATCCCTTCCTCTCCATACTCCCTTTTTCTTTTGAAGTAATCCATTATTGTTACTCTTAGTCATTTGTTGTTTTTTTTTGAAGAGGTTTTTGCTATAGGGCGCGTGTGCTTGCCAGACAGAGAGACAAGAGAGACAGAGACAGAAAGTGAGAAATCACTCCTCAGGGGGATGGCCACGCTGCAATCCTTTCTCCTTCATTCTTCTCTTGGGATCTTGGGCATGCATGCACACGCGCCTGGTGTGAGTTTTAAGCCACTGGGTCCAGGACTCGAACCGCGGTCAACTACATGGGAGTCCAGCGACATAGCCATTACGCTAACTGCTGGTTCCTTAGACATTTAGTTTTAAATGTTAACTTCTTGGCTAATTTAGTATTCAAACAGGTTTTCACTTCATGTGAAATTGGGTCAAAAGAGATCTCATCCTGGATCAGTATGTTAAGTTTTTGTTCCTAAGTAAAACAAATTTATATCATCATTCTAATTTAGCGGTTTCTCTTCCATTTCAGTTGACAAAGAGATGATGCAAGCAATAAGAGAAAAGTCTATTTTACAAGCACAAGAGAGAGCACAACAAGCTATGGAAGCAAAGGCTGCAGCAAAGCGGGAAGATCAAAAATACGCACTCACTGTCATGATGAAGGTAAGTTGCAGGTTGATAGGAAAGTCCTCTACAGAGCTAAGAGCACACTGCATAAGGGTAATTACTTGTACTTCCAACCACTTACTTCCTCAGCATTTGTTCATACTTTGATTATAGAGATCACTATGTTATATCGTTTATCTGCTACTCAGCGTGTTCCTGAAAATCTGTATGAAAGTCAAGGGTGTGAAAGTTGGACAGTTGGATCAGCAGGCAGTGTAGAGGTTAAGGCAGCTGGATTCCATATGGCTGACTGCCTAGTTCAAGTCCAGACCTGGAGGCTGAAAATCACATTGAGTGCGTGTGCATGTGTGCCCAAAACCCCAAGAAGAAAGGAGGATAAGGGATTGTGATATGGCCATCACCACCCTGGAGTGATTTCAAAACCAAAAAAAAAAAAAATTGGGCAGTAGATATACTTGTTTCAAGGAGAGGATTCTATGTTTCTAGCAAGCATGCTTAGTATGGAAATTATACTTTTTTGGGTGTGTTTATTTCTTTTTAAGTCTTGAAATAATGGACATGATTGTTTAAAGTAAAAAAGGATGTGTTGAGGCCAGCAGGTGGTATAGTGGTTACATTGCTGGACTCCCACATGGCCAATCATAGTTCGAGTCCCAGATGCAGAGGCTTGAAATTCACACCAGGCATGCCCAAAATCCAGAGGAGAATGGAGAAGGGATTAAGGCATGGCCAACCCCTCAGGGGGTGATTTCTCTCTTTCTCTCTGTGAGGAGCACAAACATCCTATAGCAAAAATCTCTTTAAAGAAGAAAGAATGGATAGGTTAAACACTAAATATTGATATTTTAACTTTTTTTAACATAGGCTTTCAAATGAAGCTTTAATAAACTGTGTTATGTTGGTGCAACATTAATTGTAGTTTTTCATTGCTGAAATTTGCCATTTGATATTGGATACACTTAAATAAATGTGGTTATCTTATTACATCATTTTTAAAAAGAATTATTCATTTATTTAATTTGTTATTATTGTTTAGTTTGACTTGAGAGAGACAGAGAGAGAAAAGGAAAGTGAGAAAGCATGCTGCCAGGACTCAAACCGCAGTCATGTAGGAGTCCAGCACCCTAACTACTATACCACCTGCTGGTCCCACATTATACATCATTTTAATGCACGTTTCTCACCTTTTTTATTTTTTGCTGATGAATTATTGCTGTTTATTTTATATGTATTTTAGACGATAGACATGATATTAGACAAAAAGCAAATATGAGCGATTTTCTTATTTAAGTTAGAAAAGGGCTGTAAGCAGCAGAGACAACTCCCAACATCAGTGCATTGGCTCAGGAACTGCTAATGGACATACAGTGCTGTGGTGATTCAAAACATTTTGCAAAGGAGATGTGATCTTTGAAGATGTGGAGCGTAGTGGCCGGCCATCAAAGTTGACAATGACCGATGGAGAACTATTATCGAAGCTGATCCTCTTACACCTGTATGAAAAGTTGCTGAAGAACTCAATTTTAACAATTCTGTGGTCATTCGGCACTTGAAGCAAATTGGAAAGGTGGCAAAGCTCAGTAAGTGGGTGCCTAAGGAACCAACCAAAAAAATCGTTGTTTTGAGATGTGATCTTATTCTGTGCAACAACAGTGAACTATTTCTCAACTGTGATATGTGATGAAAAGTGAATTTTATATGATAACCAGCTTAGTGGTTAGACTGAGAAGAAGCTCCAAAGCATTTCCTGAAGCCAAGCTTGCACCAAGAAAAGACCACAGTCACAGTTTGGTGGGGTTCAGTCCACTATAGTTTTCCAAATCTCGGTGAAACCATTATATCTGAGAAATAGGCTCAGCAAATCAATGGGATGCACCCAAAACTGCAATGTCTGCAGCCAGCACTGATCAACAGAAAGGGCCTAGGACCAGAAGTTAACGTAATGGCTATGTTGCTGAACTCCCATGAAGCCAACCATGGTTCAAGTCCCGGACCCGGTAGCCTAAACTCATGCCGGGCGCGTGTGCATGGGTGCCCAAGATCCCGAGAGGAGAATGGAAGAGAAGGGATTGTAGGGATTGTGGTCTGACCATCTCTGCTGGGGGGTGATTTCTCGCTTTCTATCTCTCTGTCTCTCTTTCTGGTGAGCGCACATGCCCTATAGCAAAAAACTCTCAAAAAAAAAAAAAAAAAAAGAAAAAGAAAAAAGAAAGGGCCCAATTCTTCACAACAATGCCTAATAGCACGTCACACCACTAACACTTCAGCAGTTGAACAAGTTGGGCTACAAAGTTTTGCCTCATCCGCCACATTCACCAGACTTCTTATTAACTGAATATCACTTCTTTAAGCATCTGGACAACTTTTTGCAGGGAAAATGCTCCCACAACCAGCAGGATACAGAAGATGCTAAGAGTTCGTTGGATTTTGAAGCATGAATTTTTATGCTACAGGAATAAACAAACATTTCTTACTGGCAAAAATGTGTTGACTATAATGGTTCATATTTTGAGTAATAAAGATGTGTTTCAGCCTAGTTATAGTCATTTAAAATTCGCAGTTTAAGGGCCAGCAGGTGGCATAGAGGTTGACTCTGGACTTCCACATGGCTGATTGCAGTTCGGGTCCCTGACCCAGAGGCTTGAAACTCACGCGGGGTCTGTGTCAATGTGTGCCCAAAATCCTGAGAAGAGAATGGAGGAGAAGGGATTGTGGCATGGCCACCTCCCTGGGAGTGGATGGTGGAGTGGTGGCGGTGGTGGTTTGTGGTTTCATTGTCTTTCTCCATCTCTCTGATGAGCACACACACTCTATAGAAAAAATCTCTCTTACAAAAATTTCACAGTTCAAAACCATAATAGCTTTTTTTTTTTTTTTTTTTTTTTTTCCGGAGAGGTTTTTGCTATAGGGTGTGTGTGCTCGCCAGAAAGACAGAGAGAGACAGAGAGACAGAAAGCGAGAAATTACCCCCCAGGGAGGATGGCCATGCCAGAATCCCTTCTCCTCCATTCTCCTCTTGGGATTTTAAGCATGCATGCACACGCACCGGTGTGAGTTTAAGCTACAGGTTCCGGGACTGGAACTGTGGTCGACTATGTGGGAAGCCAGCAACATAGCCACTACACCAACTGCTGATCCCCGTAATAGCTTTTGTACTAGCCCAATATTTCTTGAGCTATAATTTCACATACTATATGTTTTGCCCATTTAAAATGTATAATTTGATGGGTTTTAGTATATTTAATGTTGTCTAATTTCACCACGGTCAATTTTAACACATTTTTGTTACTCCAAGAAGAAGCCCAGTATTCATTAACAGTCACTCTCTGTCCTCCATCCCCTTGTCCCAGGCAACTACTGATCCATTTTCTGTCTCTGTAGATTTCCCTGTTTTGACTAATTTTTAAAAGTAATTTCTTACCTCAAACCTCATTCTGATGGCCTTGAGATGTTTAAAGAATCTATAGTAAGCATTGTCAGGAGTTCTGTGTATTCATAATTATCCTTTTGCATTTGCATCACTAGTAAGATTTTTATAATCAGGACTAGCAGTTAGCGTAATGGATATGTCGCTGGACTCCCACGTAGTCGACTGCAGTTCGAGTCCTGGACCCGGTGGCTTAAACTCACGCCGGGCGTGTGTGCGTGCGTGCCCAAGATCCTGAGAGGAGAATGGAGGAGAAGGGATTGTGGCGTGGCCATCCCCCCGGGGTATAGATTTCTCGCTTTCTGTCTCTCTGTCTCTGTCTGTCTGGTGAGCGCATGCGCTCTGTCTGTCTGGTGAGCGCATGCGCCCTATAGTAAAAAAAAAAAAACCTCTCCAAAAAAAAAAAATGATTTTTATAATCAACAATTCATGATTCCAAACAACTCTCCACTTCTTTTATCACTTCTGTTTGACTTTTAAATATAGCTTATGGTTAAATATTTTGTCTTTTGCTTCATAATTAAACATGTGCTCAGCTGGGCAGAGAGTCCTATTTTCAGGAAATGTAATGACTTCCATAGTTTTTGATTATATAATCATGCCTATCTGCCTTTAATTTTTATCATTTCTCTGAATTCGAAAAAAATGATGGAACCAGAAGGTGGCATAATGGTTATGTTGCTGCACTCTCATATGACTGACCACAGTTCGAGTCCCAGATTCAGCAGCTTAAAACTCACACTGGGCACATGTGTGGGGGTGCCCATAATTCCAAGAGGAGAATGGAGGAGAAGGGATTGTGGCATGGCCACCATCGCCATGGGGGGTGATTTATGGCTTTCTGGCCTTCTGTCTCTGTCTCTTGGGCGAGTGCATGCACCCTATGGTAAAAATCTCTCTCAAAAAAAGAGAAAGCAACAGGGCCAGCAGGTGGCATGGTGGTTAAGGCACTGGACTCTCACATGCCAACTGCAGTTTGAGTCCTGGACCTAGTGGCTTAAAACTCATGCTTGGCAAGCATATACACACTATAGCAAAATCCTCTCATCAAATAAAAATAAAAATAAAAAAGCAAAATACTATGAATGTATGGCAGCAGATAAATACTGGGTCATCAAAAAATGACACAAAAAAATAGAAGGACATCCCATGTTCATGGATTGGAAGAATTAATATAATCAAAATGGCAATTCTACCCAAATTAATCTACATATTTAACGCAATGCCAATCAAAGTACCAGACATATTCTTCACAGATCTAGAAAAGGCAATCATAAAATTTATCTGGAATCATAAAAGACCCCTTATTGCCAAAGCAAGTCTACACAAGAGTAGAGTGGGCGGCATCTCACTTCCCGACCCAAAAATAAACTACAAAGCTATGGTAATCAAAACAGCATGGTACTGGCACAGAAACAGACACGTGGACCAATGGAACAGAATAGAGTCCCCGGAAATAAATACCCAAACATACAGTCAACTGATCTTTGACAAGGGGTACTAGTCAATCCAGTGGGAAAATGAAAGCCTCTTCAGCTGGTGCTGGAAAAACTGGATTTCCACTTGCAGAAAGATGAATCTGAACCCCTACCTCTCACCTTTGACAAAA